TTATAATATTGGGAGGGAGTACCGAAAAGTGAGTAATAAGAGCAGTAATGTCATTTAAAAAGTCCTTATTTGGCTTAGGTGGTCGATAAACAGTGCATATAATAGTTGGAGTCGATCCCGCAAGCTGTGATGCAATGTATTCAAACGAACGGAAGAGTGGGGCGGAGACAGGGAGAACTTTCCACTGCTTCCGATGAATCATCGCAAGACCTCCGCCCCGCCCCGATTCACGAGGTTGGCAAACATAAACAAACTCAGGTGGAATAGAGTCGTTGAGGGAAACAAAATCATTATGCTGTTGCCACGTTTCAGTCAAACATAGAAAATCCAACTTACGCACAGAAAGGAGATCCTGGACGAGATGTCCCTTACCAGTCAGAGAGCGGATGTTTAATAATCCAAAGTTGACGCTGGAGTTAGCCTGCTTGACTATAGGATTAGCCGACCTGGTTAGGCGAGCTAAAACATTGTGGTTAACATCCCGGTTAGTGTTGCGAGGATGACGGCGAGATGAAGACAAGATGGATTTTATCGGGTTAGTGTAGTCGTAACTGAATTTCTTCCGGGACCCTCGGTGGACATATCTGTGGCGAGGCTTGAAAGCGATTTCCGGGTGGAGGTGAAGCGCCACAGGTGGAGGGACGGCCAGGTGGACACGGAGCCGCAAAAGCTCAGTAATAGAGTATTGAAGCAGTGCTGTCGTAGGGCGGTGAATGATGACTAAAACAGTCCAGGTAAGCACATACACGCCCTAGGAATCCACATCTTATTAGTGAACGGGCATTAAATGCTGGAGGCTAAAGAAAGCCCGATATAGATGGGGGTAACAGAAATCTATCCAGACAGCTTCGACACGGCTACTAATAATAATCCGCAAACTGTATAAAAATGATTCAGGACGGAATCACTCGCAGATACTCTGTTTGTTGTCGTAAAATAACTTTAAGAGCATTTTTTTTTTTAAACTCAACTACAGTTGAGCAGCGGCAGCCAAACTCGCCAGCGTTCACTCACCCGGAAGTAGGGTTGCAAAATTCTAGGAATATTCTTGTTAATTCCCATACTTTCCCGTTAATTCCCATGGAAAGTTTCTAATGTGGAATATTTCCAAAATTCCCTAGCTTAACTTCCCATGGAACGGAAAGTTTCAGGAAAATTTCCAGAAATTTTCCAGCCCTTTGCAACCCTACCCGGAAGTAGCATTTGCTATTGCTATTGATCATAAAAGCTGTGTTTTATGAGCCTCTGAGCCTGTCCATGTGTGATGACAGTCAAACCATACTTATGTCTGTAAAGCTGGGGTTGAATTCCACGTGATTGCAGGCTAAGGACCTGTATCCATTCTCACCCAGTTTCAATATTTGTCTCTGTATGTTGAGAGGCGGAGTGGTGGCTGAGGTGAGGGATCTGTGACAATAATCAGAAAGTTTACCGGTATGAACGCCCGGAGTGATCCTACTTCGTTGGACCCTTGAGCGAGGCCCATAGCCTGCAATTGCTTCATCCTGGGTATGATGTTAATCTACATCCAACCATGCAAGCAGGTCCTCCAACTTCCAGAGAAAACGTGGGGGTTGGTGGCAGGATTGGCACTCCAGCCACTGGGAAACTCTCACACTATTCCATTCAACAGTGGTGCTGAGGTATCACCCGCTGACCGACTGCACTTGAGTTTTCAACCCAGAGGTGGTTTGTCATGTGGTGGGTGCAGCAACGCACTGTATTAGCGCACGCTCCTTACCCCTCTCTCTCTCTCTCTCTCTCTCTCTCT